ATTTTTAACTTTGTCACAATCTGTAGCCAAAGGCATCTTTAAATATTTTAAAGTTTTTTTTTTCCACATATATACTTGATAATATGTGAAGTCTATGTGGATCTTTTTGCTGGTTTTGTCATGTTGCCTTTTTTTCCTTGTTCCTGATTGTGGGGGAAAAGCTTAGGAATTCCCTGAGCTTGCACCGATGGGTTAATAAGGCATAAAGAAATAGGAAGCCACAGGATGAAAGCATCCAAGATTAGGTAAACAAGGCAAAGCACCCCCAGTATAGAACAAAGGTATAGGAATAGGAAACCTCAGGATGAAAGCATCCAAGATTAGCAAAAGGAGATTAGGTATTCAGGGTGGAAATTTAGTACAAGCCCCCAATTTAGTACAATAGCAAAAAGCTGCTTTCACAGTTAGGGACCAAAATAGGTAAACAAGTAAACAGGGCTATAAACCACAGCAGGGTGAGGTTGCTTGGAGCAGAGCTAATTAGCAAAAGAAAGGTGCCTTGTTGACCCTGAGGTAACAGGCTGTCTTGTCTCCAGAACCAGCTAAGATAAACAGATGTGGCCTCTTGCCTCTGGTAAACAACCTTCTGCCCAGCACCAGGATTTTGTTTTGTATTGACCCAAACCCCTAACACCATATATCTTCAAACCCCCCTTTCCCTCACACCCATGAGCTAATGTTCACGGTTTCATTGTCTCTTTGTGCACGTCCATTATGCTTGTAAGCCTTCTGATCCTTAATAAAAACAGAGCAAGGCCCCTTACTCCAAGTTCTTGTCTCCTCCTGGACATTAGCCCCTCTCGCATTTTAATCTTGTGTCTGTTTTCTTGCTGGACAAGAGAGAACTCCAGACCCAGAGTCTAGGACACCCGATTATCCCTGCTTGCTTATTAATTGCTCCCAAAAAATTATCTTTAAAAGTTTCCCTGAGGTCTAGATTGAGCAATTCCTCTTCCAAAGATGCCTTGTGTTTGCTTTTGCTGGCAAAAGGGCTGGTCATTGACCACAAGGTGTTAGGGATATATTCTTTCCCTTTCTTTGCTATCGCTCTGCTCAGTTACAAGGCCACTTTCTCTATAGTCTCCTGGGACTGAGAGATGGGTTTATCTTGAGGATGTAGCACATTGGGAACCCAAGTTACCTTCAGAAAGTTCTAAGATTCACCACCACGGGTAGGTCTGGGCCTGACCTTGTCTCACTCACTCCGTGTGACCAGGTAAGCGGGATCCAGCTGTGCTGCGTTTGCAAACAGTTTAGGACATAAGTTGCTTTGGTGTTCCCTTCACTGATGACAAGATCTCATTTTTAAATCACCATCTGTTGAAACTACACTTTTCATCCTCAATGCTTTCTTCAGGGCAAGGGGAGAGCATGCCACCTACATTTTTAAAAATGCAATTTTGGGGGGCACCTGGGTGGCTCAGCCAGTCAAGTGACTGTCTTGATTTCAGCTCAGGTCATGATCTCACGGTTAGCGAGACTGAGCCCCATGTGGGTTGCCACACTGGGTGCAAAGCCACCTTGTGATTCTCTCTCTACACCTCCCCCACTTACACCTGCATGTACACTCTAAGTAAACTTTTAAAAATGCACTTTTTCACTGTTTTTGGTATGAAATTGACCCAGACAACGTAGCCTACCTTTGCCAGAAGGTACTACCCTGCCTTTTCAGTGTTAGTTTTTCTCTTACAGACTTTGAGGTTTTCCAGTCCAGATCTTTAGATTTATAAACTTTATTTCTATCCTTCTAGTGTTTGCCCATGACATTTTACCACACAGTTAACTTAAAATCCAGAGTTAAGGGGCGCCTGGGTGGCGTAGTCGGTTAAGCGTCTGACTTCAGCCAGGTCACGATCTCGCGGTCCGTGAGTTCGAGCCCCGCGTCAGGCTCTGGGCTGATGACTCAGAGCCTGGAGCCTGTTTCCGATTCTGTGTCTCCCTCTCTCTCTGCCCCTCCCCCGTTCATGCTCTGTTTCTCTCTGTCCCAAAAATAAATAAACGTTGAAAAAAAAATTTAAAAAAAAATCCAGAGTTAAAAAGAATCTTGACCTCCTCAGAAATAATATAAGCACTTTAGGCCACTTTTAGGCATATCTTCCAGCTTTACCTACTATTGTCCAACATTTCAATTCTATCTTTAGCCCTTTGAATTAGACACTGACTTAAAAATGAGTCTTTTGATATACCTCTATGTTGGCAAGTTTAATTTCCTTCTTGCACATCAGGTATTTTCTTTGGAAAGAGGTGGGGGATGGTGTTCCCTGAATGAACTCAAGTCCTGAAGTGAGACTGAACTGGCACAGTTGCAACACAAAGTCCACCTGGGACAACTGGAAACTCAAAAGACCCCTCCTCATCTGAGATGAGCTTGAGCAGCATGTTATCCAGCCGTAGATGGAATGAAGGCCTAGGCCAGGAGGCCCTGAAGCCCATTTCCTGTGGGTCAGTCAGTGCAGGCCTCAGTAGGAGCGTATCCCAGTGCTTAGTGGGCTGGGGCACTCAGAATCCCCATTTGAATGGTAACCATCCTCTCCCTTATTGCACTTCTCTCCCAATAGTAGGTGGTACATTAGATCCAAGTGGAGCTCAAATAGGTCGGTGTCTGTGGGGGGCAGGGGCTCAAGCCACTGGTGGCCTCAGGGGAGTGAAAGATGGATACCTGGTGACTCCTTGGAATTGATATTCTATGGCCTCCCTTTCCTCCCACTATGTACCAACCCTGGAGCCACCAGCCACTTTGGAGGATGTGTGAGCTTTTCTGATGATTTTAATCACTCCTCCCTCTCTTTTTTTGGTAAATATTTTTTTTGGGGGGGAGGGGCAGAGAAAGAAGGAGACAGAGAATTCCAAGCAGGCTCCACACTATTAGCGCAGAGCCCCATGTGAGGCTCAAACTTACGAACCATGAGATCATGACCTGAGCCAAAATCAAGAATCGAATGCTTACCCAACTGAGCCATCCAGGCACCCCATCCCATTCCTCCCTCTTTATAAACCCAATTCAGTTGTCCCACCCAAATATCACCACCACCTCCTTCTTGCCCGTTGGTGGTGGTCACCTTCCTCTGAGCAATGCAGTTTAGTTCAGCATCCATTAGTGTGATTTTTGCTTGTGGACTTTCTCCCTTACCTTTATTTACTGCTGCTGCCTAGTTCCTAGGACAGGGGATTATAACTGGCAGATATTCAATAAGCATTTGCTGGATAAATTGCCAGTGTTCCATGTAGAGAAGGACTGAGAACATGTGTGGTTGTGACATTCCAAAGTGGAGTTGAGTGGCAGAAATGGTCTTTCCTTCCTTTTCCTAGACCCATCCCCCCTCCTTCCATCAAAACTTACTGGTGGAGGCCTGGAGACAAAATGAAAGAACTGTACTCTTAGAGTGAAGCCTGGAAAAATATGTGAAGGTAGAGCAGGGCTAGAGACAAATCCTAGAAAGCCAGGACACTAGCTAGAGATTGTGCTTTTGTAAAGAGAGTGGATTCTGGGGCCAGAGAGACAGGACTAGAATTCAGCCTCTATAGACAGGCCCCACCTGGAGTATTCTTCAACAGCGTACTTAACTTTCAAAAGACTCTCCTTTTACCCTTTGAGTTACCTGGTTAATATAAATAATATTTTGTTAATTTCTATCTTTCCCCAAGATAACTATTTCTGTGTGGTGACAGATCAGTCCCACAGCCTGCCCATTCTTAGGAGCTATGATCCAGCCCCAGTATGAGGATCAATCCATTTTGCACTTCTTCTGGTGAAGACACCACCTAATTTCTTGTGAAACCTGAGCTACTAGACCCGTGGTATAAGTCTCCTGCTGCCCTCCCTGCATTGGATCTGGTCTAACTTACCCCACAAAGATATGACAAATGGTTTTCTCTGCCATACTGCTCCATCTGAAGTCAGTCACAGTCTGTTTACTTTTGAGGAATTTCTTTATTGGAGTTCCATCTTACCTCACCACAACCATCTGGCTCTTCATGGCCAAGAAAGAGTGAGCCCTGAACATAGTATTCATAACATTTTACAACAGACAAGACACACATGTAGTGCATGAAATCTTTACAATAACACATTCCAAAACAATCAAACATTTAACAGGATTATTAAGCATGAATTTCCTCTGATCCCTCTATTATCAACAGCTACTCAGCTTTTTAGCTCTTGCAATACAATGACCTTCTCAGCATTCCTACTCATAGGAATCCCTGAGTCAATGATTTTTGTGCAGGTGCAAATTCATGAAGACCTGTTCCATTAGTTATGTAATGTGCTGAATTTCTCTCTATGGTAGAACCTTTCATTTGTAGCACAATGTGTGAGGTTTTCACTCCTCACACTTCATCATTCATTGAGGGGGCTCATTTGAAATTTTTAAAAAGTTTTGTCCATTCAACTGATGTATCACAACATTACAACAGTATAATCCAATCAGCTTGCATTTTTAATGACTCTATTTCCTGTTAGATTCATGTCTACATTTTCCACTCTTCCTACAACAAAACCCAATTTTGTTTCAAAATGTCATCACCCCTCACAAATTATTCAGTTATATCAAGCTTATACTTCACGATCACTCCTCTTAAATATATATTCCCTGAAGCCTATCTCTCCCTGAATTTGCCTGTTGGAGGCCATTCTTGTATTTTTTCCACTGACCAATGTATAATTGGGATTCAAAGCTATAGCTGAATTTCCCCCATTTCTATTCACACAATTTAACCAAATATGAACTTTCTGATGGTGACTATATGACTTCTAAGTGAAGTCCTTTCCTTATCCATGTGCTTTATGTCCAGAAATGTCTGCTTACTTTGAAGGTTTTTCAAATACTCTGTCACTTTGATAGGTTTTATCCCCAGTATCAACTATTTTGTGTTCCATAAAGGCTCAACTACCTTGACATTGCAGGCTTCCTTGCTGGCTATGACTGAAGATCATACTGAAGAGTACTCAGTTTCATTTATACTATGTAAATTATAAGCCATGAACAAATACCTCATATTCATATGATATTCATACATTCATAAGGTTTTTCTTCCATTTGAGTTGAGACTTGGTAAGCTCTGCCTCCTACAGATATGCTCATCTTGGTCCCTTCCAGAGCATTCCCTCCCTCATGAGTTCTCTTCTGTGATGTGTCACTGTGACTTCCCACATTTATCACATTTAAAGATTCCTCTCCAGTATGGGTTCTTTTATGCTTCGTGAGATTTGATCTGATATTAAAAGCCTTCCCACACTCATTACATCGGTATGGCTTCTTTCCAGTGTGGATCCTTTTGTGTTGGTCAAGAACTGATCTGTAATTGAAGGATTTCCCACACTCACAATTATAGGGCTGCTGCCCACGGTGGACACTTTTATGGTTAATAAGACTTGAGTGTGAGATGTATGCCTTCCCACACTCATCACATTCATAGGGTTTCTCGCCCGTATGAATCCTTTTATGCACTGTCAGGCCTGAGCTGTTCCTGAATGCCTTTCCACACCTATCGCATATATAAGGTTTTTCTCCTGTGTGAATCCTCTTGTGTTGAGAAAGGAGTGAACTGTAATTGAAAGACTTCCCACAGTCAACACATTTGAAGGGTTTCTCCCCAAGATGGACTCTTTTATGGCTTAATAGAGTTCTGCTTGAGAAAAAAGCTTTTCCACATTCATCACATGTGTAGGGAGTCTTGCCAGGGTGGGTACTTTTATGGTTAATAAGGCTTGAGTGTGAGATGTAGGCTTTTCCACACACGTCACATTCATAGGGCTTCTCCCCCGTGTGGATTCTTTTATGCACTTTAAGGCTTGAGTTGTTTCTGAAGACCTTCTCACACCTGTCACACTCATAAGGTTTCTCTCTAGTGTGGACCCTTTTGTGTTGAGAAAGGAGTGAAGTGTAATTAAAAGATTTCTCACATACATCACATTTGTAGGGCTTCTCCCCAAGATGGATTTTTTTGTGGTTTATAAGGGTTCGGTAGGTGATGAAAGCTTTTTCACACTCATCACACTTATAGGGCTTTTCCCCAGGGTGTACACTTTTATGATTTATAAGGCTTGAGAGTGAGATGTAGGCTTTCCCACATTCTTCACATTTGTAAGGTCTCTCCCCAGTGTGGATCCGTTTATGTACTTTAAGGCCTGAATTATTTCTGAAGGCTTTTCCACACTCATCACATCCAAAAGGTTTTTCCCTTGTATGAATCCTTTTATGTTGTTCAAGGGCAGAGCTGTAATTGAAAGACTTCTCACAATAACTACATTTATAGGGCTTCTCCCCAAGATGGATTCCTTTGTGGTTTTTAAGGCTAGAGCGTGAGATATAGGCTTTCCCACAAACATCACACTTATATGGTTTTTCCCCAGTATGGAGCCTCCTATGGACTTTGAGGCCTGAATTGTTCCTAAATGTTTTCCCACACAAGTCACAAACATAAGGTCTCTCTCCAGTGTGAATGGTTTTATGCTGAAGGAGAAGTGAGTTATAGCTGAAGGATTTTCCACAATCCTTACATTCATGAGCTTTCTTCCCAGGGTGAATGCTTTTATGAACTGCGAGGCCTGAGCTATAGCTGAACGCTTTGCCACAGACCTCACACTTGTAAGGTTTCTCTCCCGTGTGGATCCTTTTGTGCACTATAAGGCCTGAGCTGTTCCTGAAGGCCTTCCCGCATTCATCACATTCATAAGGTTTCTCTCCAGTGTGGATGACTTTATGCTGAATGAGGAGAGAGCTATAATTAAATGATTTCTCACACTCATCACATTTATAAGGTTTATCTCCAAAGTGGATGCTTTTATGGTTTAGAAGTGTTCTGCAAGTAATGAAGGCCTTCCCACACTCATCGCATTCATAAGGTTTCTCGCCTGTGTGTATCCTTTTGTGGACCCTAAGGCCAGAGCTATTACTGAAAGTTTTCCCACAGATGTCACATTCATAGGGCTTCTCCCCTGTGTGGATCCTTTTGTGGACTCTGAGACCAGAGCTGTTCCTGAAAGCCTTCCCACACTCACCACATTCGTAGGGCTTCTCCCCTGTGTGGATCCTCTTATGCTGGTCCAACACAGAGCTATAATTGAAGGATTTCCCACACTCATCACATTTACAGTTCTTCTCCCCAGAGTGGGTGCTTTTATGGTTTATAAGGCTGGAGTATGACATGTAGGCTTTCCCACATTCCTCACACTTGTACGGTTTCTCCCCAGTATGGATCCGTTTGTGGACTCGAAGGCTTGAGCTACTCCGGAAAGCCCCTCCACAGTCATCACACTCATAGCGTTTTTCCCCAGTATGCATAATTTTATGTTGAACAAGGCGTGAATTGTATTTGAACGATTTCCCACACTCCTCACATCTGTGTGATTTCTTAGCAGCACTGGTTTTCTGCTGTAGACCAGGATGAGAGTTTCCATTAAGGTTCTCCACACATTTGTCTTGTTCACTGCTTATCTGTTCTATAGGGACAGTCTGGTGTGTAATATGTTTTGAGCTTGGATACAAGCTTTTCTCAGATGCCTCATCTTCCTGTTCCATCTTTATATTTGCTGTGTTCTTGGCTTTGCCAATCTTTTCCCTGGTGCCACTTTTGTCTTCCATCCTCCTTTTTCCCTCCGGATTTTCCAATCGACTTTCTACCTTGCTATCCCAATCACAAGTTTCACCAACCTTAGATTCCTGTATATGATCCTTGTGAAAACTTTCCACTTTTGGCCACACAGATTCTGCATTTCCATCATTTCCATACTTTTCAGTTGATTCCTCATTCTCAGTGCCCCTCGTCTTCAAATGTGACACTAAATCAAGAAAACGAAAATGATACCTGTTCACTTTGTTTAGAAGACACTGGAAAAATTACATCCAAATTCACTCATTCACTTGACAAATATTTACTGACTGCATGCTGTGTGATAGGTACCATTTTTAACTGCAGGGAACAAAAAGGGACATGCCAAGATTTCTACCCCTGTGGAGCTGATGTTAAAATGTTAGAGCCTTGGATTTTCAATGGAACAAAGAGTTTTTCTATTCTTGCATGACAGTTTAGTAGGAGGGCAAATGAAATGGGTTGAAATGATGCACAGGACCACAGACGATCATCACCTAGTCATGAAAAAACAGAGGGTAGAACAAATCTCTGAATAAGAGGAAACAGAAAGATTAGTAAGACAAAAGGTAAGAAGACATAATCAGCAGAACTAAACAGATAAAGCTAAAAAAAAGAGAAGAAATTAGCACCTAGGTGGAGGTACTGGGGAGACGGTAATGAAAACATGAAGACAGTCATGAGAGACATGAGAAAGAAAGCAAACTACAGCTTTGTGGAGTTGGTTTGGCCTGTTGGACTTTCCCTCCAAGGAAAACCTGACCCTGGAAAGTGGGTAGTCAGGGAGGAATTCTACATGGAAGAGCATGCTCCATCCAGCCTGCCAGGCAAAGATGCATCATTTTTACTTTATGAACAGACTAACAGCAGTCAGAGCATATCAAAGATTAGAAGCTAAAATGCAAACCACCAAGCAAAGGAAATACTACTACCTGGATTCAAATACTTAACCACATGATCTCAAGAAAGTGATTTACCCTCTTTGTGCCAGTTTCCTCATCTGTGAAATGAGGGCAATGGGGCTGACATGAATATTAAGTGAGATAACATATATAAAGTGTTCTGAACAATGCCAACTACTTGGTGAGTACTATATGCATAATTATTACTACTTACTGAGGTCGGGTTATTTGATTGGAGTTGGAACCTGGGTATAAAGCACAGGACTCAGGAAAGGTAAATTCCTTCCTAGAACAGATTTTAGGGCTCAAGCAGGGCTTCTTTGTTCCTCTTGAAAGTACTCTACTTGTCTCTACTACTTTGGGCAGAGTAGTTCATGTTGCTGAAATGTGAGGACAGGCAGTGGAATCCCATAATCATCAGCTGCAGCATATCTTTTATCAGGGACCATGCTCCATCATTCCCTTTGGCCTTGGCCCATCCACCTCTATTCATCTTCAGCCCTCAGGAAAGAAAGATGTTCAAGTTCCTATAGCCATAAAGCCAAATCCTCTAAAATAAACATAAAAGGGGCACCTGGCTGGTAGAGCATGCAATTCTTGGTCTTGGGGTCATGAGTTCAAGCCCCACATTGGGCACGGAGCCTACTTAAAGTTAAAAAAATAAATAAACACACAAAACTTGATAGAGAAAAAACAAAAAAGGAAGGGCTATAAGGGGGGGACTAGCCATATTAGGTATTAAAATATACCAAAAAGCCTCTATAAATAAAGCAGCATGGTACTGGTGTATGGCCAAATGGAACAGAATAGAAAGTCCAAAAATAGTCCTAATTACACACAGAAATCAAGCATATGATAAAGATGTCAGATCAAATTATTGAGGCAAAGATGGTATTTAGAATAGTGTTGGAACAACTATAAAACCATTGGAAAAAGATAAAATCAGATTCATTCTTTACACCATACTCAAGAATAAACTCCAAGTGCAGCAGATCTCTAATTATAAAAATGTGATGCCATACAAGTACTAGAAGGAAACATGAGTGAATGTTTCTATAATCTGATTACAGAAAAAGTTTTCAAACTATGACTCATATGCAATAAGAGAAGATTGATAAATTTGTATAAATACAAATTACATGTCAAAAATGCTATAAGCAAAATTGAGAAATGGCAAAAATGAAAGAAAATATTTACCATGTGCATCATATAGAGGGGCTAATATCTCTCATACAAAAAATTTTCAAAAGTTGAAAAATATAGACTAAAATTCCTACAGAAAAATGTTCAAGAGAAAAATTTGCAAGAATGAACAATTCACAAAAAGAAATACTAAAATGTCCTGCAAACATGTTTTCAATGTCACTCATAAGAGAAATGCAAATGAGAACTACACTAAGATACCATTTCTCATCTGTTGTATTAAAAGCTTGACAATACACTCTGTTGGTGAGGCTGCTGCGGAAACAGGCACTCTCATATGTTAATGGGAATGCAAATTGGCATAAGCCCTGTTGAGGGGCATTTGCCAATATCTAACACAACTGTGTGCATTTACACTTCAATCCAGAAATCCCATTTAGGAATTTATACCGAAGATCCACTTCCAACAATACAAAAAAGCATATGTGCACAAAGCTATTCATGGTAGCATTATTTGTAACTACAGAATTTGGAAAACTACCTAAACGTCCAAGCATAGAAGATCTATTAAATAAACTATGGCACATAATCGCAATGGAGTACTAAAAAAAATTAGGAACATCTCTATAAATTGATTGAGAGGGAGCAATTTTCAGGATGTAAAGAGGAAAAAAAGCATACATGCTACATTTTATATATAAGGAAGAAAAATAAGAATATGAGCATATATCTGCTTATCTTCATAGTAATGAGAAGCTAGAAATCAGTAAAGCCCCATTACCTGTAAATGGAGGAGTGGGGAGGACAGTGCAAAATGATAGGGAAGACAGACACTCTAAGAACAGCTTTTTGCACAGTTTTTACTTATGGAAGCATGATAATACGCTGCATATTCAAAGAATAAAATTAAATCAGTGAGAATTACAAAAAGGAAAAGCAGCTAAACCAGAAAGCAAACGGAAACAAATGAACTCATTTGTGTTTGACATGAATACTGTAACCACAGGAAGGGAACAAAAACAAACTGTAACCTGAGGAAGGGAACAAAAAGAAACAAACAACTAACCCATGTAACTTAGGCACACAATTATTACATAATATGTGACTATCTACTTTTCAGTCTTGGGAAGGAGGGAGTGGTGGGGAAGCACTGAAAACAACTGAACACTTTTTTTTTTTTTTAATATATGAAATTTATTGTCAACAACTGAACACTTTTTAAGCAGGTTTGTTTTCTGCAAAGATATGGGCAAAGTAATTTTTTAAAATTATTATAATTTTTTAATGTTTATTTTTGAGAGAGAGCACAAGCAGGGGAGGGGCAGAGAGAAAGGGGGACAGAGGATCCAAAGCACGCTCTGTGCTGACAGCAGAGAGCCCAATGAAGGGCTCAAACTCACAAACATGATCTGCACTGAAGTCAGAAGCTTAACTGACTGAGCCACCCAAGGTGCCCTGTTGGCAAAGTAATTTTGAAACAATTTTAGATGTGGTGGGGGATTGAGTAAATATGTTGATTTAGTTGCAAGCCAAGGCTCTCCTGGAGGAAGAGGAGACCTAAAAATATGGAATAGGGGAAGACAAGAAAGAACCTGTAGGGATGAATCAGAGATCAGTGTGAATTCATGATTTCTAAACATATATATGTGTGTGTGCACATGTCTGTGTATTCACAGGTATGCACACATATTCCCTAGCTCTCTGCTGAAAAGCCAAGAAGCAAAAAATATCTTAGTGGTAATAAGCACATCCAGCACCCTGTTCTTAGTCTCTACGACCATTACCTACTAAAAGGAACTATAGCTCCTCAGAGAAATGGCAGATTCTAGGCTAGGGCAGGATACACACAAGGTGAGCTGGGGCATCTTGTTATGCCAACAAGTAAGGAGATGCTTAAAAATGACAGAACATGTCATAAGACCACAAGCCAGCCTGGCCACACATTTTAGGCTCCATAATAATTATGTACAGTAATGAACTTCACACCATTGAAAATGGGATTTCATGAGTCCATACATAAACAGGGGAGAAAGAGAAGCTGCTTACTTACAGGAGAATGCCAGGGCCAGTTAGTATACGTGGAGAAAACAGTAGAGTTGAAAATAAATTAGTATTCTGCAACTATCAGAGCAAAGACTGGATCAGGGCAGAATTATCACTGGATTCTAAATCTAGGGGAAATTTTGAGAAGGTGCAGTACATATGCACAATCTTAAAATATTCACCCCAGACTGAAAGGGAAAAATAGTAATTATACAGTAGAGAAATTAGACAATGTCTTGGCCAACTGTGGTAAATTAATATCACCAATGGAGGCAGATTGACATTATGTGCTTCCCGAAGTGACATCCTGAGGACACATCACCTACAAGAATGCAGCACCGAGCAGTTTGCCAACATTTGTTAGATAATATCAAGGAATCAGAATTTAGGATGGTATGATAATGGCACTGTGGCTGTTAGAAGTGTCATTTTTGTTTGTAGACTGAAAGTATGTTAGAATGTAATGGCATTATGTCTGAAGTTTCCTTTAAAAAACTTTAATAAAGGAAAAATACAAAGGGAAAGGTGAAACAAATGTAGCAGAATTAAAATAATTATTGAAGCTGATCTATGGGTGTATGAAATTCATTGTACTATTTTACTTTTCTGTATGTTTAAATTTTTTCATAATAAAAAATTAAAAGAAAAAAGATCACTCATACTAGTTTCAGTGGGCAAATGAATTAGAGAGAACCGAGTCCTGAAGTCTGGGAGGAGGTTACTAAAGCCAATCAAGAAGACTCATGTGCCCTATCAAAATATAGCATTTTACACAGAGCTAGAACAAACAAACCCGAAATTTGTATGGAACTACAAAAGACCCTGAATAGCCAAAATAACTTTGAAAAAGAAAAGCAAAGCTGGAGGCAGCACAATTCTGGACTTCAAGGAATATTAAAAAGCTCCAGGGAACAGAACAGTTATGGTGCTGGCACAAAAACAGACACACAGATCAGCAGAACAGAATACAAAACCCAGAAATGAACGCACAATTATACGGTCAATTAATCTTTGCCAAAGCAGGAAAGAATATCCAAAGGGGGAAAAGACAATCTTTTCGAAAAATGGTGTTAGAAAACTGGACAGCAACGTGTGAAAGTAGACCACTTTCTTACACCATACACAAAAATAAATTCAAATGGATTTGAAAGGCCTAAATGTGAGACAGGAAACCATAAAAATCCTAAGGAAGAACACAAGTAGTAACTTCTTTGACATTGGCCATAGCAACTTATTTTCAGATATGTCTCCTGAGGCAAGAAAAACAAAAGCAAAAATAAACTATTGGGAATTCATCAAGATAAAAAGCTTCTGCACAGCAAAGGAAACAATCAACAAAACTAAATGGCAACCTACAGAATGGAAGAAAGTATTTGCAAATTACCTATGTATGGATAAAGAGTTAGTATCCAAAACATATACAGAAACTTAACATCCAAAACATGAATAATCAAATTAAAAAATGTGCAGAAGACAGGCATAGACATTTTCCCAAAGACACACAGATGGCGAACAGACACATGAAAGGATGCTCAATATCACTCATCATCCAGAATGGCTAAAATTAACAACTTAGGAAACAACAGGTGTTGGGGAGGATGCAGAGTAAGGGGATCACTTTTGTACTGTTGGTGGGAATGCAAACTAGTGCAGCCACTATGGAAAATAGTATTGAGGTTCCTCAAAAAGTTACAAATAGAACTGCCCTATGATCCAGCAATTGCAGTACTAGGTATTTACCCAAAGAATACAAAAATACTAATTCAAAGGGATACATACACCCCCATGTTTACAGCAGCATTATCTACAATAGCCAAATTATGGAAACAGCCCAAGTGTCTGTCCACTGATGAATGGATAAAGAAAATGTGGTATACATATAAAACGGAATACTACTCACCCATAAAAAAGAATGAAATCTTGCCATTTGCAATGACATGGATGGAGCTAGAGAGTATTACACTAAGTGAAATAAGTCAGTCAGAGAAAGATAAATAGCATATGATTTCATTCCTATGTGGAATTTAAGAAACAAAATAAATGGGCAAAGGAGCAAGAGAGAGAGAAAGAGAGAGAGAGGGGGAGATGAAAGAAAAGTTCAAGAAACAGACTTTTAATTAAAGAAAACAAACTGGGGGCACCTGGGTGGCGCAGTCGGTTAAGCGTCCGACTTCAGCCAGGTCAAGATCTCACGGTCCGTGAGTTCGAGCCCCGCGTCGGGCTCTGGGCTGATGGCTCAGAGCCTGGAGCCTGTTTCCGATTCTGTGTCTCCCTCTCTCTCTGCCCCTCCCCCGTTCATGCTCTGTCTCTCTCTGTCCCAAAAATAAATAAACGTTGAAAAAAAAAAAATTAAAAAAAAAAAAAGAAAAGAAAACAAACTGGTGGTTACCAGAAGGGAGAGGGATGAGGGATGGGGGATGGGGGCAATGGAGGGATGACGGGGCTTAAAGAGTGCACCTGTCATGAGCACAGGGTGATGTATGGAAGTGCTGAATCACTAAACTGTATACCTGAAACTAATATTACACTGTACGTTAACTAAATGGAATTTAAATTCCTCTCTAACTCCTCTCTAGTTGTCAGCAGGAAGCATGACCCAACAGTCTGGTAACATCAGTCAAAAGTGCTAGCTTTAGAATGCCATCTGCTCCGTCCAAATTACACATCCTACCACCTCTAAACTCCTTGGTACTTGTCATTCATGTTCTATCAATGCCCAAAAAAGCCTCTGCACATAATAAGAACCTGCCCTTAATTCTTGCTGTCCCTGCACAAAAGAGTCAGACGCCCCTTCTTAAAGATACTGGACAACTCACAAAAGAATCGTGGCTTACTCTGGCCAAAAAGTCCTGCCTATTAACAGGCTGTAATGAGCAATGCATCAGCAGCTACTCTAGATTTCCAGAATACCAAACATTCCACAAGTCTATTTGCCATCAAGTGTCACATCAGGATTCTGTACCTTAAGTTCTTTTTATATATTTGGCTTGGAAATGACCAAAAAAACAAGACATGTGAGCACAAAATTCTTACCAATTCAGAAGAAAGAATACCTAGGAAATTGGAGAATGAGACACATGAAAGATGGAATCAAGGAATACAGATGAATAGAGAGAATATGTGTGCTTTAGTTATTATTGCATTTAGTTTATGAATATCAGCATTGTAAATGGTTAACATGAGTTGGTTCTATTGCTTAAAAGTAGAAATAATGATGAAAGGTGATTTTTCCTTAAAGTAAAAAATGAAATAGAACATTCTCATACCTGGTAGTGGTGAAGAGATTTCTAGTCATCCTGAGGAAAAAGGTAAGCAGAGGAGATTCTGAAAGGGAGACTGAGAGATTTTCTGAAGCTAAATGGGCAGAGACTGGCTGGAAGGGAGTCATTAACAGAATTAGATTATTAGGCTAGCATAAAGCTAATAAGCATCATAAACACAAGATCAGGAGAGAAAACCTACTTGGTCTTATTTGTTCTTTAAGCACTCTACACGAACTGTTATAATAATGATTTGGCATGTTTAACAATTTACCAGTAACTGGCTGAGTTAATGTAAAACAAAAATTATTTTGACTGATCCCTTCTTTAAAAACCCTTGCTAAAGTATGTCCTGGTAGAACCTCATTGAGCGCATCATTGATGAAGTAACAAAAAATTGAAAACAACCCAAATGGCTCCAAACAGATCTAAAAAAATATGGAATATTAAAAACACTCAAACAATAGTCAATCTGTTACCACAGTGCTGTTTTGTTGTTGTTTTCAAAGCTCTTTGTATTCTGATGATGCCTAAAATACAGTAGAAGGAAAAAAGCAAGGGGACAGAACTTTGGAGCAGACCCTATCACCTCTGTGAAAAAAGGGGAACTAACTACATTCACATTTGCCCAGTATTTGCATAAACAAACTGGATGCTTACACTCTAACAAATGTAACTGTCTAGGGGTTTGGGCATGAGAAGATGACTGAGCGGGAGCAAACCTTGTCACTGATAACTGCTTATATTAAACATCTAAACCATAGGAGTATTAAATACATTAGTAAACATATTTAGAAAATTATTAACAAAACAAAACCCTCGGGCTTTCAAATAGAAAACAACCTAGTGGCCACCTGGTCTAAACGTTTTTAGAGCAGCACACCCAGCCCTGGCACTTCCCGTTCATCTTTCACATCCCGGTCGTCCCTGAGTCTAGAAGCCTCTTCCATATTCCCCCTACCTAGTCAACTCCTCAACTTTCAGAGTCCACGGCAAGCCGCCTCCTCTGGTCGTACCCCAGTCGGTACACGGGTGAGCTTCCCCAGAGCAAGTGTCTGGAAGCTCCTCCCCGGGGCTGGATCTGCACCTGTGGCTGCAACCGCTCAACTTCCCAACCAAGGGAAGAAACGGGGGGGGGGAGGGGAGTACTGAAGCAGATCACCCCTAGGGGTCCCTCTAACGCTCGTAATCACTCTCACGTCCTAGGGCCAAACTTAACTGCAAGGGGGAGTCACACCAGGGGAATTATTTTAACGGGCTCATGTCCAGGACTCCCCTCCGGCCCGAGAAAGCAGCGAATAGTACAGAAAGACAAGAGCCAGGCCCCAGTCTTTCTCCGGACGCTGGGCAACCCCAACCCGGCCCTGGCCGCTCGGACGGCCGGAGTTGGGTCCCAGAGAGAGACCAGCCTGTTCCAGGGGCACGCCCCACACCCCTCGGCTGGCCTGAGGTCTTCCCTCCGCTCCACTCCCCCCGGAACGTGCCTCCTGAGGTGTGTATAGGAAGGGGGAACGCTTCCCTCCATATCCCGCCCAAGACCCAAGGGGCAGCCAAGACTTGGCCACTAAGGGAAGGGCGTGGCAGGCGAGGGCCCGGGGCGGAAGCGCGGGCAGCCGCGAACTCACGTACTAGCTGTGTGGCTGCTCCGCGGGAGCCCGGCCGCCGGCGGGACAAAAGCGCGGACGGCCCGGCCGGAAGGGCCCGCGCTGGCTCTAGGGCACTTCCGAGTCCTCTCTGGGAGGCTGGAGGACGGACTCGATGATATTTCTCCGTTCGGGCACGTGACCCGTGGTGCGTTCGGAGGGCGTGGGCGCGGGGCGAAGCTAGTTTCTGTACTGCTTTGTAGCCCGTTTGGGGCCGCAGCCGGGAGACAGGAGGAGACGCTTCCAGGTTTTGTGGACTTCATATTCCAGGGTGGGGATGACAGTAAGGCAAATGAGGGGCTAGGTAGAATAAACACCTAGCGACTCTACCTGAACACGGAACACTTTACAGAGTGAGGCGCGGGGCCGCCCCCGGGAGGAGGCGGAGCTGAGCGTCGAGTCGGTGGGCTCAGTCCGCCCACTCCGAGAGGTAGGCCGGGGGCAGACGCGGTGGCCCGGAAGAGCGTCCTGCGAAGCGCCTGGGCTGTGGGAACGCTGGGCGCGGCGGAAGCGCCCCAGGACCGGGCTGGAACCCCGGCCTGGAAGGACTTTTGAAAGAGATCCTTTTTTTTTTTTTTTTTTTTAAGTAACATCTGCATATTTTTCATCTTAGGTTTACGTAATTGCAAAGAAAAATTTTTGGCACACTGTGCTGACATTTAAAAAAACAAAACCTCTTATTTTAGACGAATACAATGGACTCTGAACCCACAATTTAATATCATTCGCTTTTAACGGAATATTTACATCATTTCAGATTTTTCCTTAAACCTATATTTTATGTCCCTCATGAGATTTTTATTCTCACCTGAAATATTTTCAGTCTCACTGTTAGCCTAATGTAAAAAAGTTGCTTTAAATTGTATTGTTTTCTCTAGCATCCATCTTCGTAACAGAATCAGAAGTTTACGTATTTTTCTCACTCAAGTGTTAATTGTTTTCTGGATTATTAGCAAAATTATATGTATTGCTAAATTTCAATGATCAGTTCTTAGACTAAAGATAAAATGTTTTGGAAGCAAACTTTTAATAAGATCGATTTTTGAAAACAGTTCAAGTTATGCAAAGTACTTGGGTGAATTTCACTTTTCGCTGTAGTGAGCCGGTATTCAGCATCAATTCTGTGTCCAGTTTTTATTCTTTATAGATGTAGGTGCAAGGTAAATGGAGGGAATAGAAGGTGCTTCCTTGTAGCAATGGGTTCTTGATCTGCTTTGGCTCCATGCAAGAAGGCGCAACTCAGGGTGAGTCTGGACCAGTGCGAGGTGTGTTCTGTTAGAGAAGAAGGGAGACCATAGGAAGGAGCAGGGCCCCAGGCCCTTCTGAACGCAGCACAGGTTTAGGGAAAAACACTTGCTGGAGTTAAGAATTGAGAGTCGATTCCCCTACATCTACCCCAATCGGTATAGCCTGGCCAACATACAGAGCATTTGAAATGTGACTAGTGCCGTTGAAGATCTGAATTTTTAATCACATTTAACTTCAATAGCCACACGTAGCTAATGTCCTCTGTATTGGACAGCATTGCTGTAGAAGTTGCTGCAGGCAGTGCCGCCAGAAGAATTCACATAACCAGATTAAAGGTTGTTGGTGTTAGTTAGCCTGCCACCCATGGCAGGGGAAGACTGGATTTTTCTCTTTAGGCAGCAAGGTGCCTAATGTTTATGTCCAGGTTGGGAGGTTTTGCCCAATAAAAGGTAGTGGGGGGTGGAGGTGGGGGGTGGGGGGGATCATTGGGAAGCCACATAAATCATCTTAATTAAGGTGATTTTTACTTTAACTAACGGTTTTTCCTCCATGAGCTTTGTCACACTTTAGACACCTTTTGTTTGGCCTTGTGTCTACACACACACACTACCCTTTTCCAGTACCTGTGTTTTATGGATATCTACAAATCAGAGCAGAGTGTGTAGATCTGCACTGATCAATATGGAAGCCATCATTTATATATGACTATTAAGCACATGAAATGTGGCTAATCTAAATTAAGATGTGCTGTAAATATAAAATCCACATCTGATATCTAAGATTTAGTAGAAAAAGAGAATGTAAAATGATATTTTTAATGTTAATTAGATGCTGAAATAATATTTTGGTTTTATTTGGGTTAAGTAAAACAAATATATAATTAAAATGAATTCCACCTGTTTCTTTTTATTTTAAATGTGTATACCAAAAAATTGGAAGTCACAAGACTCACATTACGTTCTATTTGACAACGCGGCTCTAAGAACCCAATAGGTACAGCTATGACCTCCTGAGGTTGCTCTTGCTTTCCAGCTCATCTGTCTCCTTTGAAGTAGTTCAAGTACAGATTAATGTTAAACTATGCCCACAGGGGCTTACTTCCAACTCCATTTTTAGTCATTGAATTGGGTCACAAATTATTAAAATAAAAGTTCTCCTCCCATTTTAACATATGTACCGAGCTCACTATAATTTGGAAAAGAAAGAAAAATTAGGAAAACTAACTACTTTTAATCCTGCTACCTAGTGACAACCACTATTAATGTCTAACTTCCTTTTCTATTGCCAATTTGCAGATCTTTTTCAAATGGTTGTAATAGCACTATAGATGCAATTTTTATATAGTGTTTTTACAAATATTATACCATACAATTTTCCATGTAACAACTCTTTGTGATATTCCACTGAACTATGATCTCCTTAACTCTTCTGTTGTTAACCAATCTTTCTGTTGGAAAGAGGTTCTTTCCAACTGAGTCTCTTTAAAAAATACGATTCAGTGCTCTAAAAATAGTGTGCAAAAGCTTTTTGAGAGGGAAACAACAAGAGGCTCTTAACTACAGAGAACAAAATGAGAGTTGATGGGGGAGGTGGATGGGGGGTGGGGTACATGGGTGATTGGTATTAAGGAGGACAGTTGTAATGAGCACTGGGTGTTGTATGTAAGTCTTGGAATAGTTGGCAAGAAGAATAAAGAATCAGACAAGGATGTAACCCATCACTATCATTATTTCCTACTGCAGCTGGAAAATGAAAAAAAGCAAAAGATGAACTAAACTTATGGAAAGATTCTTGGATGCACTATTTGCATGAGTGGAAAGATTCGGTATCAGAATGATGTCAGTTCTCTCTAGATCAATATTTAACTATGATCCCAATAAACAATAGTAACAAAATCTTCTTAAGCAACACACAATTGATTTTAAAGTTCATGTGGAAAAATGAAGATTGATTGTTTCTAGCTAGGAAATGCCTAGGAAAAAAAATACAAGTGACCACGAGGAGGGGGGCGGCGGGGTACTATTACAGCATATTAACAAACTGGTGTAATTCTAGGACACAAAGCCTAAAAATAAACCTAAATAAGTGTTTAGTATCTGATAAAGGTAGCATTTCAAATCAGTGGGAAAAAGGTGGTATAAGGACAACTATGAAGCATTAAGGAAAAATAAGGTTGGATTTAAAACACAAGTCTTTATACCAGAGTAAACGCCAGATGTATCCAAGATGTAAAATGTGCTCTCACTAACAATCCATAAAAGTAATAGAAAAAATACTGCTTCTTCCCCACCTCCATAAAAGTATTAGGAAAAACAAAACAAAACAAGACCACACTACACACCCATACACAGGAGATTTCTTTGATCATATTGGAGTGGAGAAGGTTTTGTTTTGTATTCTTTTCTACCATAACACAAAATCTAGAAATCATAAAAATAAAGAGTAATTCATATACATAGAAATAAAATATTTTTTGTATGGCAAAACCATAAGTAAAAAAAAAAAAAAGAATGACTAATGGAAAAAATATTTGTTTTTTATATCAAAAAGGGTAAATTGGAGGAGCGTGGAAAGATGGTGGACTAGGAGGACCCTGAGCTCACCCCACCCCATGCTTATAACCAGGTACCATCCACATCCAAGTCAATAAACCAGAGAGCAATCTGAAGACTGGAAGAACAAACTCCACAACCAAATATGGAGAAGAACCTGCAGCTGAAAGGTTAGGAAATTCAGAAAGGTAGAGGGAGGCTGCCCTTAGTGAGGGAGCTATGTGCATGGAAAAGGCAGAGAAATGGACCTCCTCACAGCAGGAGCTCACATGGGGCACACTAGAGTGTATTATGCTAAGTGAAATAAGTCAGCAGAGAAAGACAAATACCATATGATTTTACTCATATGTGGAATTTAAGAAACAACAGATGAACATAGGAGAAGGGGGGGAAAGAGAAGAGAGGGAAACAAACAAGAGGCTCTTAACCACAGTGAACTGAGAGTTGATGGGGGAGGTGTGTGGGGGATGGACTACACGGGTGATTGGTATTAAGGAGGGCACTTGTGATTAGCACTGGGTGTTGTATGTAAAGTCATGAATCACTGAATTCTCTTGAAACCAATACTGCACTGTAAACTAAAATTTAAATAAAAAGTAAAAACAAAAAACAAACACAGAGAGGCAGAATTGCTTGAGTTTGTAAAAACAGTGGGACTTGGGGCCTGGAACTTTAAGTCAGCTCTCTCAACACTGGGCAGGCTGGGAGGGTGAGTGATAGCTGGGTTGCCACCCTTAAAGAGACAGCAGCCTGTTTGGAGAGGCAACATGAAAACAACAGTTATCGCAACACCAGGGGCAAATGGGAGACAGATATGTTCACACTGCTTTCAGAGTGTGTTAGGAGATTTCTCCAAAAACAGGGGAGCTGGCAGGTGTCATTTTTCTTCCCCAGCCCGAACATAAACACAGAGTCACCTGTGGGAGACAGGGCTGCACAAACACTTGCTACCTAACTTTCCAGCAGTGTGCCAAGCCCACAAGTTCTCCTAAAGACTAGCCCACTCCAAGCCTGCTAGCCTCGGCCCTGGGCTTGGGGTAAATTTTATTAAAGCCATGCCAGCATCCCACCCAGTCACCTGGTGCACAGATGCCACAGCACATCCTGCCCAGCCTCCATGCTACGCCCAGCTGAGCCTCTCCAGCCACTGTCCCACACCATGCCTGGCCATTGATATGCGCCATACCCAGCCTTGTGCACATGGCTGCCCTGGCACTTAGCCTCCAGCCACTGCAGCACTTCCAGGGATCTGTCGTAGGACTAGTGGCCCAATTCAAATTTTGCTTACATTTCTGCCCCACTCCCAAATTCCACAGCAGACACACCCCCTCAGAGCTGGTCTGCCTGGGTCCTACTAACACTATAGAGACTAAGCATAGCCCACAACAGGAAGACTGTCAGCAAAGAACAACTGCACTGAAGGAAAAGTGACTGAGACCCAGTAGGGCAATAAGCATTACACATAGGATATTCACTTGAAGT